GGGAAAACAGTATAGTATAAATCTGCAAATTTAAAGTACAGTATAGATTTGTTTATCAATGATTGAGTAAGAAATTTTATTTCTTTTTCTCATACAATTTTGAGAACTTTTACGAAAATTTTGCCAAAAATTGATTACAGCATCCACAAACTACTTATATTAATAAATTGTAAAAATGAAGAGTATGGTAATATGATTTTGATTCAAATCTTTTAATGATAAAAAAAATTTTGATGACTTGTTTTTCTTTGAGACATTTCTTGTCTATAAGATCCGATGACAAGGTGTGTCTTTGCTTGATGTGAAAAAGGATCGCATCACAATATGGGAGTTGTTTCACATAACCATTCTTTATTTACTTGTATGCAAGAGTGAAGTGTTATGATATCATTTGATAAATGTTTAAATATTTCTTCTAACACAAGCGATGGAAATTTTTTCGTTGCGATTTAAAAAATTTTAGCCATTTTTAACCGTTAATGATTATAGAAGTATAATATTATATAAAGTATTATTTCGAGTTTAACATTCAAAAATCATTTTAAAAAATTGAATTCTATTAGTCGGCATCCTCAAATTTACGTTAAACTAGTATCTTGAAGGTAATGCCATATAATATTATGTCTGTATCATCTTTAAGATCCCTATGACAATACTGGTTTGACGTAAATCATGGATGCCGCCTTAATATAATTCATCTTTGTTACAATGGGCAATAAATAAAAAAATAATCCTCTAATAGTATTGCACAGTAGAACCATAAAATAACAAATAGAATGAGGATAAATGAAAATATCTCAACAAAATTAAATGAATTTTTTTTTATTTGAATTCTACAAATATGTCAATGAACTTGGGTACTCGGATGGATTAAATCGACCAACATAGCTAAAAAATATTCAACTATAAACAATCAATTAGCATAGCTATATTTGCATAACTATGACCCCATCAAGCAAAGCCCGAAGGAAAATCCCTCGGGCGCCATTTAAATCTCTATTTATTTGAAGCCCACAACTATTACACCTAACTGTCTATTCCCTCCTAGATTGTTTTTAATATATCCACAACGGCTGCATGTTTTACTTGTATATGCTTCTGAAACAGATGTTATTACAATTTTGCCAAATTCTTTCATTTTAGAGATCAATCGATTTCTGAACCTAGCATATGCCCAACTCATCATCTTTCGAACTGTCTTACTATTAATTTTTCTTTTTTGTCGACAAGACATTCGAGTGCTGTCAAATGTTGGTAAAACAATTACATCAAAAGTACGAGTTAACCATAATGCAGCTTTTTTGTGTATCTCATCTATCAAATTTTGAATTCGTTTCCTTAGACTGAGCACGTTTCATAGAATTACGTTTTTTTGCTGGCGCCTTAGAGGTACGTGAAATAAGATCATCAAGTACAAGTCCTAGGCGAAAAATGCGATTAATGTCATTATCTCCAAAATTTCCATGTCCAATAGTTGGTGAATAACAAGTAAGAAATGTGCGGACTCCAGGATTTATAGATGCTACGTGAGTATAATCTGCTTGGTTTTCGCAGATTTCTTTGCCATAAACCCAGATAAAGGTCCAGTGTCTTAATTTTTTACTATATGATAATTTTGAATCTAGTGTTACTTTTCCCTCTTGATTTGGCCAGCCATTATTTTTTTCGTCGATATTCATGGTAAAGTGGTGGTTTTATATTACTAGGTTTATACCGTGGATACTCAGTATTAGCTTGAATAAGTTGCTTGTTATGTAAGAGCCGTAAATAAAAACGAAGTGGATTGCGACAATAATGAGCTCGGATAGATATTGTTTGTTGTTCGCTCTACAAATAATAAATAATATGAATGAATAATAAAATATATAATCATAATGACAATTAGCTCAAAAATAATTACCTTTTTTGAAATAAAGTGTAATTTGTGATTTTGTGGTTGACCTTGTTTTCGCAATTCATTATTGCGTCGTATAACTTCATTACGAGCTAAAATCGCACTTGTAATAGAATGATCTAAGGAACTTTTTCCATAAAAGCCCACTCTCTTGTTGTTTTGATGCGGTGTTTGAGGAGAATGCGAAAAAAGAACTGTTTATTCATACGATGATTGCGTCTATAATTGGAAACCACCATATTATAAACAAGCCGCGCACAACCTATCCATTGTTTTAATAAATCCTTTTGTGCTTTGTTCGGGTATACTCGAATTTTAATTGAGCGTATTAATGATTCCTTTTTCCTTCGTTTTGCCCGTCGTGTTGTTTGAAACTTTTTTCTCTTTCCATTATGACTTCCACTTTCATCATTATCATCATTTGTATTTAATCGCATACATTTAACTTCAGAGTTGCTTCTGTTAGTCTTGAACGTTATGGTTTGAGAAAACCAAGACCCGTTATTTGATTGCTTTGACGAGGATAAATCTGTAATCGGAAACTATAACTTCTTTGACCAGGTTGCAACTTGGTCATTCCAATAAGGAACTATATTTTTCTGGGCTTTTAATGGAGATGATTTTGGTCGTAATGATGGCATGGTTATCATAGTTTTTATAGTATTGTATGCTCATTAAGTAAATTATAAAGTAGGAATTTTTAACATATGACGGTTTGTGTATTTGTATATTGGTATTTTTTTTTTATTTTTTGGACTTCTAAAGAATGAAAAACTTTTTTTTTTCTCTGCTCCTACATAAATATAATTACAAAATTAAATCATTGCCTATCTACAGTAATATACTTCGCTTAACTAGCTTATACTCACGTATACTTTTTGCGTGCCACCAAAAAATTCAGCAGATCAATTGAATTTTTAGCGTTAAGGTTTATAAATCACTCAATGTCATTATTGACAATACTACTGCTGCTGCTACTGCTTTTAGCAGATATAGTACGCATAAAATTTGATATCAACGCATCCAACATATTAATAATAATTGAAAATTTCGTTTTTCTTTTACTCAGTTATTGGCGTCAAAGTGTTTTTAATTTTTCTAGCATATTTATTCATTTATTAAATTAACTAATGACAATAAACAATTTGATACTAAAAATCAATTTTAAAAATTGAATTCTATTGATAATCAATTCATCTTTGTTACAATGCAATAAAGAATGAAATCACTCAATTTTTAAGTTGTGTCCTCACTTTAATAAAAAATACAACACTAACTAAACCATAATAATGATCGCGTGGAAGACTTGGTCCGAGTAACTACGGTCAAGTTTATATGTTTGC